TCTCTCCCCCCCTCTCTCTCTCCCCTCCCCCCTCCTCTCTCAGTTTACCTCGTTTTCATATAAGTATATGACCTATTGGCGTTGCAAGTGCCGTAAAACTTTTACTGAAAGCAAACTTTTCTTAAAATTACGTAACTCTCTAGTAACACCTCATCTCCGGCACTAATAAGACCTACTTGTGTCGCAAATGCCGTAAAACTATAATCAAAACTATATAACTATCTAACCGTAAACAGTGCTACACTCGTATATGATCCTTTTATGTTGTACACAATGACGTATAATATGACCTATATGTGTTGCACAAATGACCTATTTATGTTGTGTAAATGACGTATTTGTGTTGTGTAAATGACCTATTTGTGTTGTGTAAATGACCTATTTGTGTTGTGTAAATGACCTATTTGTGTTGTGTAAATGATCTATCTGTGTTGTGTAAATGACCTAGTTGTGTCGTGTTAATGACCCATCTGTGTTGTGTAAATGACCTATTTGTGTTGTGTAAATGACCTATGTGTGTTGTGTAAATGACCTATTTGTGTTGTGTAAATGACGTATTTGTGTTGCACAAATGACCTATTTGTGTTGTGTAAATGGCCTATTTGTGTTGTGTCAAATGACCTATTTGTGTTGTGTAAATGACCTATTTGTGTTGCGTAAATGACCTATTTGTGTTGTGTAAATGACCTATTTGTGTTGTGTAAATGACCTATTTGTGTTGTGTAAATGACTTATTTGTGTTGTGTAAATGAACTATTTTGTGTTGTGTAAATGAACTATTTGTGTTGTGTAAATGACCTATTTGTGTTGTGTCAATCTCCTATTTGTGTTGTGTCAATGACCTATATGTGTTGCAAATGCCCTAAAACTCTAACCAAAACTCTATTACTGTGTCCAGTGCTACCCTCTTCTATGACTTATTTGTGTTGCAAATGCTGTAAAACTCTAACCAAAACTCTATTACTGTCCCCAGTGCTACCCTCCCGAGAGCCTGAAGAAGGACCATGCGGCTGTGCTGGTGTGTTGTGGGCCGGGGAATAACGGCGGGGACGGGCTGGTGTGTGCTCGGCATCTCAAGTTGTTTGTGAGTATATATACATATTATATAT